GTAACAGGTGTGGGCAATATAGAAATCACACCTGAAAGCAGATAAAAAGGAGAGACGTTCACTTAACCTTTGCATTGTGTGTCTGTCTGTGCCACACTAAGCATGGACAACAGAAAGAGGAGACGAGAACTGTCTGAGGACCTGAGAACCAAAATTGTGGCAAAATATCAACAATCTCAAGGTTACAAGTCCATCTCCAGAGAACTAGATTTGCCTTTGTCCACAGTGCGCAACATTATCAAGAAGTTTGCAACCCATGGCACTGTAGCTAATCTCCCTGGTCGTGGACGGATGAGGAAAATTGATGAAAGATTGCAACGCAGAATAGTCCGGATGGTGGATAAGCAGCCCCAAACATGTTCCAAAGACATTCAAGCTGTCCTGCAGGCTCAGGGAGCATCAGTGTCAGCGCGAACTATCCGTCGACATTTAAATGAAATGAAACGCTATGGCAGGAGACCCAGGAGGACCCCACTGCTGACACAGAGACATAAAAAAGCAAGACTACAGTTTGCCAAAATGTACTTGAGTAAGCAAAAAGCCTTCTGGGAAAACGTCTTGTGGACAGATGAGACCAAGATAGAGCTTTTCGGTAAAGCACATCATTCTACTGTTTACCGAAAACGGAATGAGGCCTACAAAGAACAAAACACAGTACCTACGGTAAAATATGGTGGAGGTTCAATGATGTTTTGGGGTTGTTTTGCTGCCTCTGGCACTGGGTGCCTTGACTGTGTGCAAGGCATCATGAAATCTGAGGATTACCAAAGGATTTTGGGTCGCACTGTAGGGCCCAGTGTCAGAAAGCTGGGTTTGCGTCCAAGATCCTGGGTCTTCCAGCAGGACAATGACCCCAAACATACGTCAAAAAAGCACTCAGAAATGGATGGCAAAGAAGCGCTGGAGAGTTCTGAAGTGGCCAGCAATGAGCCCAGATCTAAATCCCATTGAACACCTGTGGAGAGATCTTAAAATTGCTGTTGGGAAAAGGTGTCCTTCCAATAAGAGAGACCTGGAGCTGTTTGCAAAGGAAGAGTGGTCCAAAATTCCGGGTGAGAGGTGTCAGAAGCTTATTGATGGTTATAGGAAGCGACTGATTTCAGTTATGTTTTCCAAAGGGTGTGCAACCAAATATTAAGTTAAGGGTGCCAATACTTTTGTCCAGCCCATTTTTGGGGTTTTGTGTGACATTATGTCATATTTGCTTTTCTGCCTCTGTTTTATATTTGTTCCAATACATACAAAGGGAATAAACATGTGTATAGCAAAACATGTGTTAATGCAATACCTTTTTTGTGTGAAATACTTGATTTTCAGGAAAAATATCAAGGGTGCCAACAATTTCGGCCATGACTGTATATATATAAATACAGAGAGCAATAACACAGCAAAGAGATAACAGGAAGAAGTTTAGAGAGGTAGAGTACTTGCCAAAAGTTCTGGGTTAAGCAGATCAAGTTTCAGACCAAAAGGGTACCGTCTCCCAAGTTGGTTCCGATGTTAAAAGGGAGAATTCTTCAACTACTTCTCCAAACCTGACAGTCTTTTTCTAGGAACTCAGCAGGGTGTCTCCTTACAGCAGAGAACCAATCGCCTCATTTGGGGAGGGGTGTTTGAGGCTGGGGACCCTATACCAGGGTCAATAACCTTCCCTAGGTACATGTAACATTCTATCCATGGGTAGGATAATCTCGGGTATACGTAATCCAGGGGTGTAAGATATCAGACGACTCATATAAAGCTGAGCTATCCGAATATGTGCTTTATTTTTATGTAATTATTTCCTACCTTAAGATATGAAATTATAGGGAAAAGTGGGTTTTAAATGTGAGGCCTGTTTTACTGCTACCGTTTGAATGCGTTTGAAGCCCAGTGAAGGACTGGTTTATGGCTTTACGATTATCTCAGATTGAGAAGCTAACAGACACCCGGGCACTAGCTAATTTTGGATTTATAACCATGAAGATTTCCCGCTGTGCCTGATTGCCTGTGCACTTCTGAACCCAACACACAGGGACCACGTGTCACTCAACAGAGAGGGAGGGGGGAAGCTGATTTGGTTTAGAAATGACACAAGATGGAGGGCCTTTGGCAAAATGGAAGTTTGCATCCATCTCTGTACGTACAATTGCTACAGTAAGGGGGAGCTAAAAGTGTTGCTCATCCGCACATTTTTAATGTCCGTTGGCAAGGAGGTGTGAGTAAGCTTCCCTGCACAGGCTAAAAATTTGGAAGCTTTATTTTTTTGGGGGAAGGGGGGTCCTTACTAATTGCAGATGCAATAGCATACATTGAAATTTGGCAGTTTTTCCTCATGCAGTGGTCAATTCATACTATGATTTGCAAGTCCTGGTTAGTCATACAAAACTAGGACATCTCTGTTTGTGGGTGTGCGAGAAATCATAACCTACTGTAGGTAAATCTGTCATGCCATTGAAGCCAAGAAGCTGGCAATTTATCCAAACTGAAGAAGCAACTTTATCCGCTTGCACGCTGCCCTATAGTAGAAGTACTGCTACAGGGCGGCAGGGATGGTCAAAATCATATATATATATATATACACACACACAGTATCTCACAGAAGTGAGTACACCCCTCACATTTTTGTAAATATTTTATTATAACTCTTCATGTGACAACACTGAAGAAATGACACTTTGCTACAATGTAAAGTAGCGAGTGTACAGCTTGTATAACAGTGTAAATGTGCTGTCCCCTCATTAATGTCTAAACGGCTGGCAACAAAAGTGAGTACACCCCTAAGTGAAAATGTCCAAATTGGGCCCAAAGTGTCAATATTTTGTGTGGCCACCATTATTTTCCAGCACTGCCTTAACCCTCTTGGGCATGGAGTTCACCAGAGTTTCACAGGTTGCCACTAGAGTCCTCTTCCACTCCTCCATGATGACATCACGGAGCTGGTGGATGTTAGAGACCTTGCGCTCTTCCACCTTCCATTTGAGGATGCCCCACAGATGCTTAATAGGACTGGAGACATGCTCGACCAGTCTATCACCTTTATCCTCAGCTTCTTTAGCAAGGTAGTGGTTGTCTTGGAGCTGTGTTTGGGGTCATTATCATGTTGGAATACTGCCCTGCGGCATAGTCTCCAAAGGGAGGGGATCATACTTTGCTTCAGTATGTCACAGTACATGTTGGCATTTATGGTTCCCTCAATGAACTGTAGATCCCCTGTGCTGGCAGCACTCATGCAACCCCTGACCATGACACTCCCCCACCACCATGCTTGACTGTAGGCAAGACACATTTGTCCTTGTACTTCTCACCTGGTTGCCGCCACACATGCTTGACACCATCTGTACCAAATACGTTTATCTTGGTCTCATCAGACCACAGGACATGGTTCCAGTAATCCATGTCATTAGTCTGCTTGTCTTCAGCAAACTGTTTGCGGGCTTTCTTGTGCATCATTTTTAGAAGAGGCTTTCTTCTGGGACGACAGCCATGCAGACCAATTTGATGCAGTGTGCGACGTATGGTCTGAGCACTGACAGGCTGACCCCCCAACCCTTCAATCTCTGCAGCAATGCTGGCAGCACTCATACATCTATTTCCCAAAGACAACCTCTGGATATGACGCTGAGCACATGCACTCAACTTCTTTGGTTGACCATGGCAAGGCCTGTTCTGAGTGGAACCTGTCCTGTTAAACCGCTGTATGGTCTTGGCCACTGTGCTGCAGCTCAGTTTCAGGGTCTTGGCAGTCTTCTTATAGCCTAGGCCAGGGGTCTGCAACCTTTAAGACATAAAGAGCCACTTGAACCCGTTTCCGAGAGGGAAAAAAAGACTGGGAGCCGCAAAACCATTGCAACATTTAAAACAAATCCGACACTGCATATATTGCAAAAAGCGCTCTGGTCATGAAGGGGCTTTAAGGGCCCAGTAAGCAAAGGGTTAATCAGGGCCACAGTGTATCGTCATAATCACAATCATAGCCTTAGGTCAGTGGTGGGCAACCTTTTTTTTCAACTGAACCAAATCTCGCCAAAACCCCGATTGAAATTTATTTTGAGAGCCACATTTTTAAAACTGAAAATACATCCCCCATATAGTAATTCATCCCCCATATTAAGTTCCCAAGTCCCCCCTGTGTTAATTCACTTACCTTTGCTCCGCGCGTTCCTCTCGCCGTGTTCCCGCGCCGTTCCGGTGTAGCATTAAAATCTGTCTCCTATGAGGATCTGTCCCCCTCGACGTATCTGCGCATGTGCCAGTTTCAGGCATTAGCAGCCGATCGGCGATCTCCGGCACATGCGCAGATACGTCGAGGGGAACAGATCCTCATAGGAGACAGATTTTCATGCTACACCGGTCTTCAGGGCGGACTGTGAGAGGAGCCTAGTGGGAGCCTAGCTCCGCGGACCGGATTAAAAGGTCCGCCGGGCCGTAGTTTGCCCATTGCTGCCCTATTGCCTGTCACCTGGTGGGCCGTGTGCTCTGGAGCCGCAGCCAAGGTGAAAAAGAGCCGCGGATTGCCGACACCCGGCCTAGGCCATCTTTATGTAGAGCAAAAAATTTTTTTTTCAGATCCTCAGAGAGTTCTTTGCCATGAGGTACCATTTTGAACTTCCAGTGACCAGTATGAGAGAGTAAGAGCAATAACATCAAATTTAACACACCTGCTCCCCATTCACACCTGAGACCTTGTAACACTAACAAGTCACATGAGGACACCAGGGAGGGAAAATGGCTAATTTGGCCCAATGTGGACATTTTCACTTAGGGGTGTACCCACTTTTGTTGCCAGCGGTTTAGACATTAATGGCTGTGTGTTGAGTTATTTTGAGGGGACAGCAAATTTACACTGTTATACAAGCTGTACACTCACTACTTTACATTGTAGCAAAGTATCATTTCTTTAGTGTTGTCACATGAAAAGATAGAATAATACTTCTGTGAGATACTGTGTGTGTGTGTGTGTATATATATATATATATATATATATATATATACAGTATATATGTGATTTGCATTTCTGCCCTACCCTCGCTGGCAGCTATGAATGTCAGTCACTACGGATGTCAATAGCTGAGTAAAACTGACGGGAGAGACCTGTGTGTATACAACACAGGTCTCTCTCCTGCCAGCAAGCACATGCTGCTGTGTATTTCTCTGCACAGCAGAGAAAAACACAGCAGCATGTTTCTCTAGTAAAACACACACAGTACATTATGTAAAATAGCACACGGTTAACCCTTTAATCGCCCCAGATGTTAACCCCTTCCTGCCCAGTGTCATTAGTACAGTGTCAGTGCTTTTTATTAGCACTGATCACTGTATTAGTGTCAGTGGCAGTTAGTCAGTTCCCACCCAGTGTCAGAATGCCTGCCGGAGTCCCGCTATAAGTTGCTGATCGCCACCATTACTAGCATAAAGAAAAATAAATTAAAAATCCAGTACATATACTGTCATTTGTAGACGCTATAACTTTCACGTAACCAATTAATTTACATGTATTGGGATTTTTTTTATCAAAGACATGTAGCAGAATACATTTTGGCCTAAATTTATGAAGAAATTAGATTTTTAAAATGTTTTTACTTTATATGTTTTATAGCAAAAATTTAAAAATATTGTTTTTTTTTTTTTCAAAATTGTCGGCTTTTTTTTGTTTATAGCGCAAAAAATAAGACACAGAGGTGATCAAATACAACCGAAAGAAAGCTCTATTTGTGGGGAAAAAGGACATAAATGTAATTTATGTACAGCGTTGCATGACCGTGCAATTGTCAGTTAAAATAATGCAGTGCAGTATTGCAAAAAATGGCCTGGACAGGAAGGGAGGTAAATCCTCTGGAGGGCATATTTATTTATTTAGTGGCCAAACATACATCAATCAGGGGTGTGGAAATGTTTGAAAAAACTACTTGTCCTGAGACTAAATTGGTGTCCCATTCTACTTGTCCCTCATGACAATCTACTTCTCCTGATCAAAAATTTTTTTTTAACCAAAACCGTATTTAAATCGGAGGTGCTTTATGGAATGTCTGGGGCTTTTAAAAATGAAAGGGGCGACTTAAATGTTTAATATTTTTAACATTGCGCTGTTTATCTACTGCTCCCTTCCCTGCCTGTCTCCAGCACTGCACCGGAGACTAGCAGGGAGGGGAGAGGCCTTGCAGTCTGATGAGGACCGATTTGCTGCTCGTCAAGAAAGGGGAGTGTTGGGCTTATCCTTTATCCCTTTCACTGCCAGAGCCATTTTTGCATTTTTTGCACGTTTAAAAAATTATTTTAGGCCTGAAGATGATATACGTGATATATTTCTGAAATCAGAGACCCTAGAGAATAAAATGTTCCAATTTTTTATGTCACATGATATTGTCACAAAATTTCAGTAATAAATACATTTAAGTCAATTTTAGGGCACAAAAAACAATAAATGATCAAATATTTTTGTAAAATATAAAAGGTTGTATTGGTTGCCGCCCGAATGCTTCCACCTGACAGATGAGCCCTGCTGCTTGCCCGCAGCAGGGTTAAAGGTAAAGAAAACTACTTGCCAGGCACCCGGAACTACATGTCCCAGGCGTCGGGCGATAGAAATTGCACATCCCTGCATCAATTCAGCCTTTTCATTAAAAAGATTTTTTTTATCACTTACAATTTTTATTCTGAAGAACACACTTTGTTGGTTTGAATTGATCCAAATGACAATACTTTTCTTGGACCTTATAGATCGAATAATTAAGAACTTGATTCATGATTCACAACTGCTGTACACTGAAAACAAATGAAACATTTCCAAATGTTTCCTTTTTCTTTCTCCTCAAAAAAGAAAAAAAATAATTTAAAGGGATTAAAATAATTACCACTGATTCATTTTTGAAGATACAATCAATTAGAAACAATCAGATTATCAAACAATTGGATTGAAAAATGGGTGGGCGTCTCTGATCAAAGGAGGGCTGATACCCATCTAATTTTATACCGGACAGTCTGGTTTTCATAACTGCTGTCTGGTTCTTTCATTGTTGCCGCAGATTCTGGTTTGGTAACTCTGCATAGCAAACTGAACCCCCTTCCCCCTTCACCTGATTTCTTCTGTATTTCAAGAGTAGCTAAAGCAGCTCCTGTTCAAAGCAGCCTTCAATAGGTTTCAATCATAATATTACAATTGTAACAATGTATTTTTTGTAGCATTCATGTCCTTATTTATTCCCTGTTTAAAGGGTATGCAAACCAATGAACCTTTCTTTTTTGTTACCATTTGGTTTGTTCAATATGCCATTGAAGATTTGATTGTTATAATTGTTCAATAAATGCAAAATACCTATTGATCCTGACAAAAAATATTGTGAGATAATACCTTGCTTCTTATCAGTTTATATTATTCCTGGCTAACTTTGTGGACTCCAAAACTTCATCATTGAGAAACACACAGTTTTCTTGCATAGTTCAGGTGATATTACATTGAAGTGTCCAAAATGCAAAGACTTAAAGTGGAACTTCACTTTAAAGCCGGCCATAGATAGTTCTAATCCTGATGAACCAGCCGAGATTTTAACATGTATGGGCAGGCTAACTGTTCCCAATGTGATTGTTGTATGATTTAGGCATAACCAGCCTGTCGGATTTTTCATGCGATTATTACCAGCGGCTACACCCGCTAGCAATAATCACTGTGTTCCCCTGGCAGGGACAGCTCCCAGCCTCCCCCCACCACACCTCCCGCTGGGAGATATCCAAACAGCTCCACAGGAGGGATATCCCCATCCACACTGACTGTGTTGATGGGGGAATCAGGTGAGTTTCTTCCCTGCAACTCAAAGCTACAGGAAAGAAAATCGCATTGCCTATGGTCTGCTTAAAGGGGAATTTCCACTTTATGTCCTTCCCCACCCCTTCTTGAAACTTTTTTGGGGAACGCAAGTCTCCCGCTCCCACTTCTAAAGTTCTCTCTCCTTGCCCGCAACCTTCTGGGACATGTCAGGACCATTTGCTCAGCATGGCTCGCACATGCACAGTGGGAAGCCGGCTGTGAAGCCACAGTATCTTTAAGCAAAGTTTGTTAAATGGATCAGCCGGTCAGTCTGTTGTTTTTCAACTTCAAACATACCAAGCTGTCCAACAAAATTTTTAATTTTAATTTTTTTTTATTTATTTTTGTAAAACCTTTATCCCAAAAGAAAAAAAACTGCTGCTGTAACAGCTTAGAAAGTGTTAGGTTTGTTTGGCTTTAAAGCACTTCAGCCAGTTTGTAAAAAAATTAAATGTCAGCAGATACAAATATTGTAGCTGTTGAATTTTATTAAAATGGCATTTACCTGCCCAGGAATCCAGTGCTGTCCTCACTCAGGGAGGTGGTCTTCGGGTCCCACTGGTATGCTAACTGTTGGAAGCCAGCTATGATTACTTGCGGCCTCACAACTGGCTCCCCGCTGTGCATGTAAATGGTTCTGCAGCCTCCTGGGACCTGCAACGCGTCCCAAGAGGTTGCGGGCGCATAGGGGGTGGGGGGAGAACTTCCACTCTGAGCACTAGTTGTGCACCGAAATGAAAATTCTGGTGCTGAAACTAAAAATTCAAAATGCATTTGGCCGAAAACGAAATGCACAGTTTTTAAAAATGAATATATATTTTTTGGAAAAAAATACACTCTGATTAAAAAAAACAAAAAAACCCCACAATATATACCCCAATTTTTTTGTAAAATATGAAAGAGGATGTTACGGCGAGTAAATAGATACCCAACATGTCAAGCTTTAAATTTGCGCACGCTCATGAATGGCGTGAAACTGTGGTACTTTAAAATCCCCATGTGTGATGCTTTAAAAATTTCTACAGGTTAGCAGTGTAAAGTTACAGAGGAGGTCTAGTGTAAGAATTATTGTTCTAGCTCTGACGATTGTGGCGATACCTCACGTGTGTGGTTTGAGCACTATTTACATATGTGGGCATGGCCTACGTATGCATTCACCACTACAGAGGTATGTGGACGGGGGCACTTTAAACGTTTTTTTTTTTATTTAATGTTTTTTTTTTTTTTGCACTGTCCCTTTAAACAAATTTTTTATCTTTTTTATTCTTATCACAAAGAATGCATGCATCCCTTGTGATAGAAATAATTAGTGACAGGTCATATATGGAGAGATATGGGGTCAATGGGACTCCACATCTTTCCTCTGCAATGTAAAGCATTAGATAAAAAAAAAGCATTGATCTAGTGCTTAAAAAAAAAACAATGGCTGCCTCCTGTGATGGTGGACATGAAGTGACCGCTCCGGTCCTCCAAGGATATAGAGATGAGTGGAGGCCATCCTGTGATGGTGGACATGAAGTGACCACTCCGGTCCTCCAAGGGTATAGAGATGAGTGGAGGCCATCTTTCCTTCACTAATCTCTATGCCCAGTGTTCGTTCGATAGTTTCTCAGGTAAGGCTGAGAACTAACGAATGGCTGCCAGTGGCAGAAGAGGTCAGGGGGGTGTCGGCAGGCGGGCGGTGGCGAGGGGCGGGTTTTTTTCAGCACCTGTATCGGTGCTTTTTTTCATATCGGCCGATGGCCGAAAGGACTGTTTTCAGCCGAAACGTTTTGGCCACCGAAATTTCAGTGCATCCCTACCTTGGCAAATGGAGCAGAAGTGGGGAGAGGGTACAAGTAAAAATTAGGTACCCGCTCCCCCCTCCAAAAAACCCCCAAATATTCTAAATATAATAGAAGGGGGAGGAATGATAAAAGTGGAACTTCCCCTTTTGGGTGAAGTACCGCTTTAGTTTGATAGTCAAAACCATCTACATCTACCAGTGCATCTAACAGTATCCTCTCCCCAGACTGACAATGTTGCTGTCCAAGTGTGTTTCTGCTGCTCCTCCTTTCAGAGTGGAGACAACCTAAGACAGGATGTGTATTACTGGCTGGATCTCTAGGTGCAAAAAATGTTTGTTTTTGGGTTTAACACCACTTTAAAATGGACCTTCCATTAAAATGGAATGCCTGCTTAGATGACAGCCATGCACAACCAGTGTTAAAAAGGTGCATAACAATGGCCAAAAGCACAGTGTTTTAATAAAAAAAGAACAAAATCTCAGAACCCATCTGTCAACCTTCCAATAGGGTGATGCCATACCCCAAAGCTGCATTCTGGGAGAGCTCAGTGCTTACAGTCCCTTGAGGATATGCTCCAGCACAGTGCAGGAGGGCATTCTTATGGCACTAGAGCACCCAGTTCTCTCACCATATAGTGGTGAGGGGTGGTTATATCACCCACTTCTGGAAGCTAGGCTCCAAGATTTTTAAAAAGTATTTTTTCTTAAAACCCTTTTTTAACCATGATTTATGCACATTTTAAATACAGGTAATGTGGGCCTGTCATCTCAGTGGACCTTCCATTTTCATGGGTGCT